TACTACTACTACTGCTACTACTGCTACTACTACTACTACTACTACTTCTGCTAACACTACTACTACTACTACTACTACGACTGCTGCTACTACTACTAACTCCTACTACTCCTGCTACCCCGACTACTCCTACTCTACTACAACTACTACGACTAGACTACCACTACTACTACTACTACTACTACTACTACTACTACTACTACTACTACTACTACTACTACTACTACTACTACTACTACTACTACTACTACTACTACTACTACCACGACTACGACTACGACTACGACTACGACCACCATTACCACTACCACTACCACTACCACTACCACTACCACCACTACAACTACCATAACACCTTTACTACCATTACCACTCCCACTACTACCAAAATTGCCTCCCCCGCTGCCCCTGGGCCGGGGGCGCGGGCCTCCGTGCCCTCCCAGCTGGGCCAATGCGCACAGCCTCGCCCCCACGGAGCCCGCCCAATCGGGCACCGAGGGCAGCGCGGCCCTGCCGCCGATCCCGGCCAGGACCTCCATCTCAACCTGGAGCCGCGCCGGCGCCGCAGAACGGCCCCGTCCCTCCATGCATCCACCTTCTTGTCCTTGCCACCCGCCCCCCCTTCTCCTCCCCTCTCCTCCCTCCTTCCATGATCATCCCGTTCCTGTTGTTCCTTCTCTGTTGATTTTTTACTCCACCCTCCCTCCTCCTCCTCCTCCTCCTCCTCCTCCTCCTCCTCCTCCTCCTCCTCCTCTCCCCCCCTCCTCCTCCTCCTCCTCCTCCTCCTCCTCCTCCTCCTCCTCCTCCTCCTCCTCCTTTTCCTTTTCCTTTTCCTCCTCCTCATCCTTTTCACCCCCCTCGTCCCCCTCCTCCCTTCCCCCTCCTCCTCTTCCTCCATCCGCATCTCCGACTAAACAACTCCTCCCTGTCGCACCCAAGCAACTCGTTTTCAAAATGTCCCTTTCGCCTCAGCACCGCGAGCATTCGTGTTAAAGCTTGCAAGAGCTTCACGGATGTCGGGCGGGTGGTTTTCACAATGCGGGTCTCGCCAAAGCAACGCGCACTCGCCTGAATAATCCAACGAATTCACTGATAGAAGGCGGGTGAGTATCAAAATGTAGTTTTCCCCCTACCACCGCACACATTCGTCTTCAAAGTTTGCAACAGTTTCACGGATGGAGGGCGGCTCTTTTCAAAAAATGTTGCCACCGCCTTCTTACCGCCGCACCAATTCGTCATACAACAGTGCCAGAGCTTCACGGACGGAGTGCGGTTCCTTTTCAAAATGTGAATCTCGCCTCAGCGCCGCGCACAACCGCCTTGAAAGTCCACGACACTTTCAAGGTTTATTATGGTTGACATTCCAATCACGGTTTCTGGGCACGATTTAGGATTGTCAGGGCGCGACAGTCAGGCTGATTCGCGGGTGCACTACCAGAAATGCTTGTTCTGGGACGGTTCTGGGTCGGCAGGACGCAACAGTAACTTTGACTCGCGGCGCTGAAATCGCAGACTTGTGCTCTGGCACGATTGCCTTCGTTCCAACTGAAAACACATGTTTAGGGACCCATGACGAGTGAACTTGGAAGGAGGGTTTATTGCAACATCGGTGACGTGGCTTGGGTTTACACTGGTCCTCATCCCCCTGTTCCCCCTTTTCCTCCTCCTCTTCCTCTTCCTCTTCCTCCTTTTCCTCCTCCTCGTCCTCCTCCTCCTCCTTTTCCTCCTCCTCCTCATCATTCCTCCGCCCTCCTCCCTCGTGTTCATCATCCTCCTCCTCCTCCTCCTCCTCCTCCTCCTCCTCCTCTTCCCCCTCCCCCTGCTCTTCCCCCTCCCCCTCTTCTTCTTCAACCTCCCGACGCCTCCCTCCACCTAACGCGCCGCACGGCTGCCGACTGCCGCGTTCAAAACGCCCTAGATGGCCGCGGGCCAGCCGCGACGCACGGCTGCCGACTGCCGCGTTCAAAACGACCGAGCGCAAACGAGCACATTGCCGTTCCCTCGGCGCTGCTTTGATGCGCTTGGCCACCGCGAGTTCCAGCCGCCCCGGATTGGCACCATACTCGCTCGCAGCTGCGTGGCGGCGCCGGCCGCGGCAATGCGGAAGGGGGCTTTCAGGTTGTTCGGCAAGGTGAAATTCCAACGTTGCCGCTCGGCCGCCTCTCACGACCAATGAGGAGTCTGTTCTCCTTCTGGTAAGGCTCATCGTTGACCCTTTCCTCCAACTGGTGCTGGTTTGCGTCGTGCCGCCGAGCCTCCAGCTGCTCCTGACAGCGGTTCCAAACCGCGGGCTGCAGCAGCCGCAGCTGCGGTTCGCGCCAGGGTTCCTGCTGCTGCTCATGTTGACGCAAACCCGAAAATTAGGCAGGAGCATGGAATTCCTCTGGATGCCGCGCATGTGTCCCGGCGTTTGTGTTTGGTCGCTGTTGGTTTTATCTTGGTCTCCGTTTGGTGGAAAACGCACGATTCGTAGCGCGCAAGACCTAAAACTCAAAATATCCCCTCTACATCGAGCTGGAGTTGTCGGCATCATAATTCAGGTTTAACTCTGACGTGTTTCCCTCCCCTCTCCCGTTTCCTCATCATTTTCCTCCATCGCTCCTCCTTGTGAATAACTTCTCCCTGTCGCACCCCCAAAAGCGTCGGTCTGGCGGCCGGGCTTTTCGCCTGAGAGCCCCTCTCCATCGATCTATGATCCTGAAAAGGCGCGCAAATTACAGCAGCAGCAGCATCCCGGATGAGGGCGGGCGGTTTTCAAACTCTAGCTTTCGCCTTAGCGCCCCGCACGCCCGTTACAACAACTTCAATGATAGAGGGCGGGTGATTATCAAAATGTTGATTTCCCGTTCACCCCGCGCACATTCGCCTGAAAATTCTGCAACAGCTGAGCGGACGGAGGGCGGTCCCTTGTCAAAATGCGACTCCCTCCGTAGCGCCGCGCACATCTTTCACAAAAGACGCTACCATAGACAGCTTTGCTGGGGTCGGGGCGAGCGCGCGGAGCGCTGCTCATTGGGTAGGCCCGCACCCGCGGGGCGGGCGCGCGACACCTTGCTCGCGTCGCCGCGCCACGCGGGAACGCGCGGACGCAGCGACACCCCGCAACCCGCCCCAACCACAGGAGCGGCGAAGTGTGAAGGGAAACAAGGAGAACGCCGCTACCGCGTCAAGCCGACGCGCGCGCGGAGCGCGCAGGCCTCGCGGTTGGCCGTTGGGCGCCCCTGCGCCGCGCGTCGTGCGCGGGGGTATGTTTACCCTCCCCCGACCGCGGGGAGAAAGTCATGAAGGGGACCATGACCCAGAACACGAAGTACACGAGGACATGAACGCGCCCCCCTCGTCCAACCTCTGAACCCAACCGCCCCCCCCGCCCCCCCCCCCGCGGGCCGCGCGGCGATTCGCGGTGCCCGCGGCGGGGGGGAAGACGGAGAAACGCTGCTAGGTACGCGTGTTTGTGAAAACTAACAAAACTGCGTAGTGTTCTGCCCCACAAGCATGCAACTGCTTCAAGGATGGAGGGCAAATCAATTTCAAAAGGTTGCTCTCGCTCTAACTCCGCGCGCATCCGTTTCAAGAAGCCTACAACAGTTCGAAAAATTCGCGCGGCCGAGGTCCCAGGAATGGCATTATTGCGCGAGTTAGGACTGCCAGGACGCAGCAGTCAGTGCTTCGTGGTGTCGAAGTCCGCGAACTGGCAGTTCGGCGCGATCTAGATTTGCCAAGACGCAACAATAACGTTGATTCCCGGCGTATAAATCCAAGGAACGGTGCGTTGGCATGCTTGAGGAGTATGTTACGCGTGTCTTCTAATGGGCCACTTCCCACAATGAAAATGCATAGGTAGTGCCCTACGAAGTGGAAGTTGGAAGGAGGGTGTATTGTAACATCGTCGATGCGTCGTGGGTGTTGGTCCTCCTACTCCTCCTGGCCATTTCGCGCCCCAGCGGCCCCCCTGCACGGGGCGCGCGAAGGTGTTCGGCAACGCAGACATCGCAAAGGCGATGCGCCCAGGAGCCGCCATGAGAAAACGTGGAGCCCAACGTCACCAGCTCCCATGTTGAGACCAGGCACACCTGCAGTCGCCAGGACCCGCGATCTCCTCTCGCCCCTCCAACTGCTCCTCCCTCCCACTCGGCTCGTCACCCTGGCGGGCAGAAGCGCCAGCCAAGGGGGCGCGGCTGCAAGAGTGAAGGCGGAGAGCGGCTCAGCTGGCGGGCCGATCCCCCCCAGCCGAGCCGCGTGAGAGCCCGCGCGGGCCAACGTCATCAGCTACAGGGCTGTGACTAGTTTGTGCCTCTGTCGCTACTCCGCGAGATGAAAGCGAAGCGCAAGCCGAATGTCACCAGCTACAGCGTTGGGAGCGCTGGGATCGGGCGCGCGAGAAGGGCGAAGAGCGGCAAGCGGCGCAGGCATCATTCCGCGAGAAGCGGGAGGTGAAGCTGGAACCAAAAGTCGTCCGCACCAGCGCTGGCAGCAGCGCGGGCGAGCAGTGGCAACAATGCCTGTCGCGATTCAAAATCCCACCAGCCCTCTGGGCGTAGCTGGTCTAGCGATATCCTTACTTCCTCTTTCAAAACTCCTCTTCCCTTCGGGGAGGAGTATCATCCCCCTCCCCTCCCGAAGGTCTGGACGGGGGGCCGCGAGTCATCGGAGGGCATCCGTTGCCCCAAGGTGGCCCCCAAGAGGCCTCCAGATAGCTCAAGATCGCTGAAGATAACCTCCACCATGCCTCCAAGACGCCGCAAGAGTGCCACAAGACGGTCTCAGGTGCCATCAAATACTCCTCAGGACCTACCCGAGAAGCCAGAATCCTTCAAGAATATTTGGAGCATCAGTAATGCTTGCCTTCTCGCCGTTTCGCTTGCAATGAGTTTTTGAGGCGTCAAGGTGGCCCCACGACAGCCATGGAGAGCTTCAAGAGGAGCAGAAGATGCCCCCAAGAGGGCCCCAAGACCGCCCAAGAGCGCCCCAAGAAGGAGCCAAGAGCGCCCCAAGGTGTTATTTTGATGGTCCAGAAGGGAAGACTAAAAGTTAGTACCCCCTTCCCTTCACCAACACCCTCCATGACAGCCCCAAGAGGCCCTCCAGGGCTCACAAGAGGTCCCCAAGAAAGCCCCAAGAGAGCTCCAAGAGGGCTCCAAGAGGGCCCCAAGAGCGCCCCGTCTTCCTCCTCCTCCTCCCCTCGCCCCCACGCGGCCCCCAGCGATGGCCCAAAGAGGTTTTCCAATGACACCCCCTTGCTCCCAGAGATCTCTCTGTTCACGGTTGCTCGCTGTGTTTCACTAGACGTCCCTTTTCCCGTCAGCTCTCAAGGTCAGGGTCTCTGAATGGGCTGGTGGGGATGCACGAAGCTCGAATAATCCCACCAGCCCTCTCGAGGTGGTCTCACGAGGGACTCTTTCCTCTTCCACAAGCCCTCTTCCCTTCGGGGAGGGGAACCCTCCCCCTCCTCTCCCTCACGAGGTGTCGGAGGCTCCATGTTCGGCCATTGGGAGGGTCACTGTTTGCCACTCCTCACGAGGATCGTGACGGGACGCAAATCGAG